GGGGGGGAGCGCCTTGCTCTGGGGGGCGGCGGGGCTGCTCGGGTCGGGCCGTGGAGCGGCGAGGAGCCCGCCGGGTCGATGTTCCCTCCCTCCTCCTCCCGGTGATACCGGGCCGGAGCCGGTATCACGCTCCCCGCACCCGGCGGCCCCCGCTCGGTGGCCCCTCAGAGCTCGCCCCGCCCCCGAGCAGAGGCCACGCCCTCGGGGAGGCGGGGCTTGCCCCCTCGTGCTCCGCCCCCGTGGGCGGGGGATTGGGGGGGAGCGGTGCCCGCGGCTGCGCATGCGCTCTTCGTAACCCGCAGTTCTCCCCCGCCCCCGAGGGGTCGCGAAGCCAAATCCCACTCAGCGCATGCGTCGTTTCACGCCCAGCGTCTCATTGGCTGGCCGGCTCCGTCAGGCCAATAGTAGCGACGGTTCCTTTGGTGGTGAGGTGGTTTCCTTGTCCAATGGGGTTGGCGTTTGTTGTCAGGTGGCGTCTGGCACCGCCTTTCCTTACTCAGGTGGTCCTCCGCCAAAGATGGCAGCCGCCGCGCGGCCGGGGCCGGGCTGTGAGGAGCTGGCCTTGCTGGAGAAGCTGCTGGGCCTGCCGAAAGGGAACAAGTACGGCGTCCAGGGGGAGCGGAAGGTGAAGGGAGCGAGGAGGGGCTGGGAGCGGGCAGGGGCGGGAGGGTGTCCGCCAGCCGCCTTCCCCAGCAGCTCCTTACCTTGCCGCTTCCCCTCCCGCCGCCCCGGCTGGGCACTGCCGCGGCCCTTCTCCCCACTCCGCTGCCAGCGCGACCGTGGCTGGCGGGGGAAGCGGCCCCAACTCCCTCTCTCCCGGGCGGGCCGGCCCTCTGCCGGTCTCGGCCGCGCATCCCTGCACGGCGGCTCTTCCCCTTGAGCGGGGGTTTCACCTTCTCTCCTTCGGTCCCTTCCCTCACGGCCCGTCTCCAGGGGTGGCTGTGGGGCCTCGCTACCTGCCCGCAGGTTCTGAGAGCTCCCTTCTGTCTGTGGAAGGGTCGGCGTTGGAGGGATGTCGGGTTACCGCGTGTTTGTCCTTACGCTGCTCTCCTGCCTGCGTTTTCCTGGTGCGAGTGCGGTTATGTCTGTGCTGGTGTGGTTAAACCGTGTGGAAAAGATGCGCTGTTAACATCAGAAATGCATCTGCAGCGAAGAACTGTTGCTCTTAAGTATTTTGCTGTTTTAAAGCTGGTGTCACGACGTTTTTGAAGTTTGTATGGGAACGATAAGTTCCGTGGTTTTAAGCGGCACCTGAGGCTTGAAAAACGTAATGTGAGGCTGAGGGTGTCACAAATGTGTGCCTTTATGTGAGAAAGACAACAGATAAAAGAAGCTGTACAGTTGCCTTATGGTTTCGTATGAGTTTTTTTCAACTTACTGTTTATGGTTGGAGTTCTGAGTAGCAACATAAGCACTCGTTGGTTGCAAAAGCTTCCTTAATTATTTAATAACCCAACTAGCATTTTAATGTAAAGCATAAGACTCAAAAGTCAAGTAACTGTATCTGTCTGTATCTTTTCTGATCTCTGCATGTTGAGTGGAAAAATTAAATAGTAGTCAAGGTCACTTGGTAAATTAATATTATGCTTTTAGCTTACATCTTATGTTAATTAAATCTGAACATAGACAGGCTGTTCTATGTGGTTAGATACGTTTGTTGGGTTTTTGTTTTTAAAGTATTTTAATCAGTTTCTCTTCTGTCATTTGGTGTTGTAATTGACTGAGTTTTGGTCTGTTGCAGTGAGTTTCAGTTCATTCATTTCATTTCTCACTCTTAAGTGGTTCAGTTTCCTTTCCCACACTTTAACCTAGATTTTTAGAATGGTTTGGGGTGGAAGGGACCTTAAAGATCATGTATTTCCAGTCCCCCTACCACGGGCAGGGACACCTCCCACTAGACCAGATTGCTCAAGGCCCCATCCAGCCTGGCCTTGAACACTTCTAGGCAACATGTGGTAATGTCGCTAACAAAAGACACGGTTAAAGCTAGAATAGTGTTTTGTTGTCCTCCCCTAATACCAGTGAACTACTAATTTCTGTCAGAGCGTTTGTCAGTAGAACAGTAAGTGTGAATAAGCATTTCAGTAAGTTGGGTTACTGCAGTCTGCTCAGAGAGAAGTTGGATGCTGCTGACTTTACAGTTGTAGGTCAAGAGTCCTGAATTGGAAACTGAGTTAAAAGTTAGTTAATGAGATTTCTGCCAGTGTTAGAATGAGCAGTACTACTTTGTGCTAATATTGGCAAAATTTGATTAATTGGAGCTAAAGGTGTCTTGGTTGTCTATGTACATGTATTAAATATATTTCTTCTGTAAAAATTGAAAATAGACCATCCCAAAGAGTAAAAAAAGAACATATGCTTTATTAAATGTTACTACCTTTAGTATGAATACTTCTAAATTCTGATATATTGCTTTAAATATCCTTTTGATGGGCTATAAAAAAAAAAAGTTATTCTTATGGGGACTACTTTTTGAATTAGTTCTTTAGTATTACACTTTTGTTTCCTCTTCTAGGTTCCTGTTCTTCAAACAAACAATGGTCCTGGTCTGACAGGATTAATGACCATAGCTGCCCACCTCGTTAAACAGGCTAAGAAAGACCAACTGCTTGGAAGTACTGCAGAAGAGAAAGCTGTTGTTCAGCAGTGGTTGGAATATAGAGTGACCCGAGTAGATGGAGGCTCTAGTAAAGATGATACTAGAATAATTCTGAAGGTAAGGAGTACTTGATTACCTTGCCACTGAAGTTTGGAGCCACTAGACCTTGAATTCTAGTCACAGTAGTAATGTGTGTATGAGCAATCAATTACTAAAACTGAGAAAATGCTGAAGATTTGGCAGTATCTTTAAGTACTGGCTTTTATTCTGCTTGCTGCTTTTCGCTTTTATTGACAGAAATACCCCAACAATCTGAAACAGGAGGGAAAACAGCTTAAACTGTAAAATATATGAAGCAGAGCTCTTGCAGTGTTTTATGGCTGCAAACAACCTTGAGTGTTCCGGGTAGTTCAGAGATTGTTCCATTGTCTAGTCTCCTATTAGCCATGTAAGATGCCAGTTTCTTACCATCTTCATAAAACCTCAGCCATAAACGAGTTGTTATATTTCAAGATAGCGCTGCTCTGATTGTTTTAGGAGCTATTCTTATTGATTTGGTAATCATGGAATAAAGGCCATACTTGATGTTGTGGTAATTGGTATTGACACCAAAAGGAGTTACTGGACAGAATTGTGCGTGAAAAGTGAGATCATAAAGGAACTTCTGCAAAACTGCCCTTCACGTTGAGGTCCTTTGTGTGGAGGCTTTGGCCTACTGTATTAAAACTTTCCTTGTAGTCTGAAGCTTACTTCCTCTTAAACAGGTGGAAGCAGAAGAGAGAATCTCAAGGGTCACCTTGTTGTTTGAGCAGCCAGATGGCAGGGAGCAGATAGCAAAATTTACTGTTTTCCTTCTTACTCCTTGTGACTGGTAATTAGTATTTTTGCAGAGTTGTGGTAACAGAGCTGGAAGGAAAAATTTGCTTTACACTGTTAAGGGCTCTGTTTACTGAGTGTATATGAAACAGCAATTAAATTCAATTAATTTTTAAAGTGTTTCTTTTTTCTAGTTTTAAAAGTATGGTTTAGATGGAAGGCATGCGATGCTCAGTGCTACTGGTCGGTCTGGGTCTAGAAATAGCTTTGTGAGCTGCAAGATATTAGGAAGGTTGACTTTACTTGAGGCTAGCAGAGGCTTAATTAATACTTCTGACTTATGTGAAGTGTGGCCAATCTGAGTCAGCTAGAACTATTGCAGAAACCAAAGATAAATTGAAGCAGTGTTGAAAAGTTAATGAATTGTGTTACTTAAAATCAAGGAACGTGTTGCATCTTAAAGTGGTGCAAAGCAAAACCTTGTTAGTAATCTGTTTTCCTTTTCAAACTGACAGCCTCCTTGATCTTGAGGACTTGGAATATCAGTCCTGCTTTACAAAGATCAATTTGGTGAAACCCTAAAGAACAATTTCTCTCACTTGCAACCCAGATAATCTGAATCACCTCGATCTCGTTGTATCTATGGGATATCTTGCATTGGCTAAACATGAGTTTGTTTACACTGCTTCTCTTTTTGTAACATCTGAGTCTTACTTTCTGCATGCATGTGTTATCAAGACCTTTACAGTCGTGGTTACTCTACAGATAAGGCATGACAACTGTCTACGCTTTTGGGATTTTCCAAATGTGACTGAAGGAGGCATTGACTAATCAGGGTTTAACTTCAGGTTTAGCTGGACTTTGGAGAGGTGGTATGATTAGGTGGCCCTCAGAGGTCCCTGTTGTCTAATTTAAAAAAAAAAAAACAAACCTTTATGACAAGTTTTATATCATTTCAGTCATTTTTCAAACAACCTTGTGGTGCCTGTTGTTACCTCTCAAACTGAGAAGACCATATGATAATATAAAGCTTTTTTTTTTACCTTTCTTGCCCTTCTATTATATAAAAACCAAAAACAAGTTTTCTGTCTTGTTGAAACAAAATCCATCTGCTCTGGATGGCTTAGATGATGATACCTGCTTTGTCAGCACACACACATGAGTATTTGCAGATCTGCATTTGAGTATTAAAACCAGACACAGAGATACGATGACTTCATGCTGAAACTGTTGTCTTTTTTCAATTTTAGCCTTAGCAACACCAGCATTGTAGAAAAGACAATATACTGAAATTCAAATCTGTAGATAAATCAAGTGGTTCCAAACAAAGCAAAATTTCCTTGCTAAGAAACAGACAGTGTCACTTGCAGGAGAATCTCTGCCTTTAAGTATATTCTAGTAGCTTTTACCACTTTAAAATTTTCATATGGATTATTTTTTTTATTAGCAGATGTTGAATAGCCAGAATTTATTTTGACACAGGGCTGCTGTGGAATTGTTCCAGCACTAATAATTTCATAGTATAGCAATTAAGATTTTTTTAATTTGTTCTCTTGCTACCATGATTAATCAGAAAAAGAGGCAGCCTACCATTAAAGTATACTATGCCAAAAGGGAGTACGGGTGAAAAAAAAAGCAAAACTAAAATAGGGAGGCGAGTCTGAGGTTGTAGTTTTACAACGTGTCTGGAATACACAATGGCAGTCTTGGGACAGTTGCAGCCTAGAGCGACAATTTGTAATAAGCTGTGCCAAAAACAGTTCAGTCACTTCTGCTGTAAACTTTAGGCTGCCTCTATTTAACCCTTAATTGAGGTGGTGCGGTTCTGAAAAATGTCAGTAAATAACTGGTTTAATGTTTGTTAACTTGAACAGGAAGGGGTTTCTGTTGGCCTTAAGAAAATATGTTCTTATTGATGTGTTGACTAAAGCTGTTACTTGGCATGGAAAACAACCATGAAGTAGTCACATCACCTCAGCAGGGTTTTTATATTCATTCAGAGTAAATGCCATGCTGTTCAGAACCGGCCAATGAAAGTGCTCTGGAATTTTGTTTAACTTTTATTTGTGCTCCTGTACTGGACAAAATAAATAGAAGCAATACCCCTCATAAATAGGAGCAATACCCCTCAGCTGTTCTTCAGCAGATACATAGGAATGATGATTGTCAATAGTGGTGGTAACATAATATCCAGTGCATTATGTTAACTTTCTTTTCCACAGGGTGAATGTTTTTCTTTGCTTCTTTGATATTTGGTTAGGGGAAAATTAAGCTGCATAAGGAAAAAAACCTGCAAATCACTGAGTTGTTGATAATTAGTAGTTTTTCTACTCTTGTGGTAAGGAATTGAGAACTCTTGTGAAACTTTTGTGCCACTAAATGTCTATTTAGGTGTTAATTAATTCCATTCAGGAGATTTGAATGTCTCTACTTTGTCAGTTTTAGGTATCTAAAACTTGAGAGTTCTCTCCGCTCCCCCCATCTTCAGAGGCATATTCTAAATAACTGGGAGTTTGTACTTGAATTCACAGAAAAGCTTCCACAGAAATGTGGAAATATCTAATCTCTGAAAGATAAATACAACCAAGAATTTTTGTGTACTACTTTCAGTGTCTAATATGAAATTATGGAACATTTTTGATCTAGCTTTGTCCTAATTTCCTGTGTTGTCTGGCTGTAATCATGGAATCCAATTTGAAAGCTAAATAAAAGAGCTTAAATTCCTATTTAATGTGCTTGTATGAAAAATAACTGTTCCACAGATACGTAGGCAGGTTAATCCACACTGTGTCCTTATCATTAATTCACAGTTCTTGTAAACTATTTCTTGACAGACTTTTGAATGGGATGCCTACCCACTTTGACAAGCATTTTTTTAAGCTTCAACTTTGTGTTGACTTCTTTCCCTTTTCTTTTAGCACCAGGATATTTTTGTGCACTTACAGTTGTAAAGGCTTGAATTTTGATTATTTGTGCAAGGTTTGTTGATTATTTTTCTTCTGCCTCCTACAGGAAACTCAGCACATTGAATATAATATTCATCCAAACCAGATTTTGTTCATAGTTTGCCAGTTAGACAGAAACATCTTGCATTAGAATTAAATATATGGCTATGCCCCAACAGTGGAATTCTGCTTTTCTTGGATATGGCTTCAGAATCCTTTTCTTGGGTTCTGCATTGTCAGAGGCTTGTCTGGGGCATTTGAGAGTGCTCAGCTCTTTGTCTTAGCAGGGTGTAGTATAAAGGCATTTAGGGCATAAATGACCTTGAGAATATTGCTGACTGAAAGGATGTGCTTCTCTGCATAAGGGAAGTGCATACACCAGCATTGTGGTGTTGTGGACAAAATAACCAAAACAAAATCAGTGTAGGATTAGATCTTTAGTGAGCTACTTGGTCCTTGTAAGAAGTAAGTGTTACTTATCCAAGCTGCTGTCTCAACTTGTGGTGACTGGAAGGGATTCAATCGCCTTAATGGATGAATTGGATTAGAGGCAATTAGATGGTATACTTAAAAGATAGTAAGTGACACTGTGGGGTAGCCAGAAGTGTGCCATGGACAGGATGGGTTGAGCTGTCAGCCTAGATATGGGCTGTAAATTGGATTGTTTTTCCGTAGAGCAAACAAATGGAAATCCATCGGTTAGTCCATAAATAATGCAACATCTCTTCTTTCTGTTGCTTCTCCCCCATCATACCCAAACATGGAATTTGAATTGCTGCAGTTGTTCAATGCATGTTAGTGCCTTAAATACCCGTCTGAAGTTTGAGAAAGTCTTGACTATATGAACTTATTGTTGCAATCCCTCAGGAAACCCTATTTCAGTCATTTGATAGTGGGATTGTTTATATGCAATCAATTTAAGCAGCGATATTCAGTACATGAAAGACAATGATAACAAACTCCAGCTAACAGACCTGAATTTCCTGGATGTAATTGAAATTCAAATACAGTTTTGTATTCACATTTTCATTAATCTTTCTAGGACAGGAACACTACTTCAGTTTAATACCATGTTCACTTAAGAAAGCTCGACTTTCAGGAATTTTAACACAGTTGGCTACTAGCCAATAATATAATCATTTGTGGGAAGCATAACCCACAAGGCAAGATTAACTAAATGTGCCTAGTGCACATGGAAAAAAAAAAATGTACTGTGGTGTTTCTGAATTAGCTTGACTTACAGAATGAAATCATAATATCTGTCTCTTTTATGGGAGGAAAGTACATGTTCAAAAACAGAATTTGTAAACTAATGCTAATTCATCCAAGACTATACCAACTAAACCATTTTTGTCAAATTCTATTTGCTCAGTTAACTGACTTTGTAAAATCTGATGAACCAGAATAAATAACTGTTCACGCTGTAATGGCTTACCTTGCCTTTAAAGTTTCAAGATTTTTTTTATAGATGAATATTTTGAGTATACGTGCACAGTATATTAACCCATCTTTGTATGATATTAACCCATCCTGAACAACTGGGCAAACAATGTTTTTGTGTAGAAACAAGCCTACCTCTTGAAGATGTATAAAACTAAGAATTAGCCATAACTTCTTTGATACAGAAATCCAAAATTTTGAGCAGGGAAATAGCTGTGTTTATTGTACCTTCAGAGATAATGAGCTTTTTACGTTACAAAATCCTGCTTCCATAGCCTAGCCTAAGAAGGAAGGGGATGGGAGAGCAGGGGAGGTATGATTTCAGTGGCATGACTACTCATTATAATGCATGTTGAATTTCTGGTTAATCAAAATGAAATACGCTGGTCAGAGAATGTGTCAGAATAGCTGGATTTATGATTTTTTTTTTTCTAGTAAACAGGTCTCTAGATACTTATTTTTTTAATTCGTGCAAGCTTTTTCTTTGTAACGTTGCATTTGCCTTTGTGTTGCGTATATAAAATTCCACAGAAACGTAGTTACGTGTTTAAAGTAATTTGAGAGTTAACTAACATGACCAAAGCAGTAAACCAGTCTTTTAAAAAAAAAAGCTACATAGCCAAGGGCAGATGACCTTACAGAATTTTAACTATGCAGAGGTTAATATTTTTCCCTGATTTGTTCTAATAAAAGAAATCAAAGCAGACATAAGGATGTTTAAATATTATGGAAGTACAGGAGTCCTGTCATGAAGAGGTTTTCAAAGAACCAGTAAGGTGGCATAATGGAGTCACACTTGTCAAATTCAAATGCAAGGTCAGATGTCTTAGAGTCTCAGCATTTTAGTTCAGTATTTAGGGGTGGGTTTTTACATGTGCACTGTAGGGTATCTCAATATCAGTAAAATTATAGAACCACAAAAACTGCAATATGCTCAAGGCTAAATGTAATTCTTAAATTATTAACTAGTGATTAGCACTTAGTTCTTGCCCCAGACTTCTTTTTAAAATAAATTGTTTCCTTAAAATGGAACATCTTGTAATTGAGACTGAAAAATTATTTTAGGGACGTTTTGAAAAAATGCTAGTTATGTTTAAGCTGCTTGCCTCTGTTCCAGAGGTGAGCAGGAGGTGGCTGAATAAAACTGACAAGGAGATCTTTGAGGAAAAAGGAGTGCCTTTACTACAAGTCTTTTTTTCAACCAGCAGAGGAATACTAATAGTGAGAGTTTCCAAATCCAAGGAAAGCTGGGAAACTTTTCCTGTGCTTTGGAAAAGAATATTGTAAAATTAAAGCTTGCTTATTCTGGGATCACAGTTAAAGTAGATAATTTTGTTTGCTGTTACGTTTCCTTCTTTAGAGGGAAGTAGGGAGCAGAAATGCATATAAATTGGCTGAGAAGTAGGTAAGGTGGAGAAAAGAAAGGAGAGGTTAAAAGGCAGAGTTGATGTGTGATGCTTCTGTTCTCAGGAGAGACAGGCTCATCATTACTCAGGTGTGCCAACCTGCTGTTTTCTGGCAGGGAATGACTGCGTACAAAAGCCATGAAAGAGAGTCTTTAGTAATACAGATTGGAAATATTTATTCACTGAACCTAAATGGAAGCCTTTTGCTACCCACCCTTATAGCCTCTGATATGGAACTTTTGATAGAGATGATCCTAAAATGCAGAAGCAGTGCTTTCTTCATATGGACTTAGCAACTGAATTGACAGTCAGTCGCTAAGAATGGCTAGCAGTGATTTCAACGTTAAGGTGTCAAATGATACCAGCACTGAGCTTGAAACGTGTTATTTGTCTCCCACCCACTATCCCTTCGTGTTTCCCTGGTTCTTACACATTTGCAGTTCCAGAACCTTGCTGACCAGCTGTATTGAGTGAGTCCTGGAGGGCAGGAGAAGCTGCTGCTGGAAGACTGATATGCTCTCCTGTCATCATAGGACTGCATTTTCCACTTACCAAATGTTAAACATACAGCAGCAGTGCTTCTGAGTCATATGCACTAATAAAAAAAAAATTACACAATTCTGCATTTTGAATTCCAGTAATTTGAAGCAAAGAAATTTGAAAGTAGTTCTGTGGAGTCAGCTTAATATGTAAAGTAAATCATACTTGCATTTACAAAAATTTCAGTGGATGTAAGTGGGAGAATTATGGAAAAATTATGTGCCAGCAGCAAGCTGGCTACCACTTTATTTAGGGACCAACATTTACATTTCAGTGAATTATCGCTGTCAAAGAATGATGCTATTTTAGTTTATTATCTTGAAACCTCTTAGAACTTTTTTTTCTTCTTTTAATGTTTTTCTCCTTTGAGTTGGGTTAAATTAAAACTCGCTTTTGTTTTATATGCATGGTCTCCAGAGGAAGTTTTCTATTATTTTTAACAATTGCCTTAGTATTTTGTCTTAAAGTCAATACTACAGCAGTATAATGACTTTCTTCCTTTTTAGGATCTTAACATACACCTTGAAGATAAAGTCTACCTTGCAGGAAACGTTTTTACCTTAGCAGACATTTTGATGTACTATGGGTTGCATCACATCATGGTAAGTGTTATTTGCATTATTTTTTATAAAAACAACTGTCATAATTGTTTATCTAAAGGGCAGTTTATTGTTGTAGAAATTGACGTAATAAGTTCCACAATGACAATTACAGAACAAAAATTGAGAAATTTCTTGTAAGAACTTCAAATAAAACTTGTTTTTAAGTTACTCATTTTTTACCTTTTTAATATTTAGCTAGGATCTGTCAAAAGAAGTATCTGTAGTGTCCAGAATGCTTTAGTTTCCTCTATGTAATGTAGCAAGGATGATGCCTATCCCTGTGTTACTGGGTATGAGGACTCGTATCTGTTCTAATCTGAAGCATGACTGCTTACAGAGCTACATAAGGAAAGGGAAAAATGACACTGAAAGGACATATTGGAACTGAAAGCACTAACCTTGTTAGTATTGGAGAAATGCTACTGGTGCTATGAAAGATGCAGGTAAATTAAGTTCCTGAAGGATGAATACATATAAGTGTGTCAGCCATAACAAAATGTCACTTGTGTTTCGAGACTTAACGATAAGACCTGACAACATACAGAATATGAAAATAACGTGGGGAGCTGGTGCTTAGGAGGAAAAAAAAAAAATCAAACCCAAAAATAAAAGTTTGTACTGAGTGGAGAAGATACTGAGCTTCTCTGTAGTCAACTCAGGGTTTGCTCTGAAGTGCTTATAAATCATTGCACCTCAGTTCTGAACCCCAAGAGGTATTTAAAGATGAAGCAGTTTAAATGATTTGTATTTTGGTGGCTGGAATGTGATCATAAATGAACCGTCCTTCTCTGCAGTGGGTATTACTAAACAAACCAAAGCACTTACACAAAAAGGTCTGCTAAATTCCTGGTAGAAGATAAAATCAGTCAATTTTACAGTAGAAAATTAGCAGGGGTTGGCAGGGTAGTCACAAAAAGATGCCTCTGACAAATGCCTATGTGTCCAAGAATTGGTAGCTCTAAACAAGTGGGTGAATGGGTACTTTATATTAAAAGCAAGGCTTTGGAAGAAGAGTGCAAGAATGCTGTGCTTCAAAAGAGAGGCTGACGCAGGGGGAGGAAAGATCAAGTAGTGAAACACAACCAAAAATGAAAGGAAATGTAGGTATGTGTATCTTGACTGTCCAGGAGTAAAAGTTCAAATGAGAGAGTGTCAAGCAGAGGAGAGGGAAGGGAAGCTTCATTTCAGAAGGTTTTTGAAAACATGTTAAAGTCACTTAGAAGTAATTCTGTTAAATCATATTTGCCTTGTAAAATATCTTTAGTGGGAAAGATGTGTTAAATAGAGTGTCAGAGTGAATTACCTTTCACATAAGATGTTTAGACATAGAAAAAACGTTTAATTACTTCCTAAAACTATGACTGTATTTTTTTTTTAAACTTAGGCAGGGGAAAATCAAGCATATTTTAAATTTAGAGTTTGCTCTAGAGTAGACCACCTAATCAAGGAGAAAAGATACAAGTTATTGCTTTGGGAAATAGAACAGATGGTAAAAACAAATGACTTGGTGCTCCTGGGTGCCTGCAACCATCCAGACACTACTTGGGACAAGCATCTGCTTCTGAAATGTTTGCTTTCATGGAAGATAATTTTCTGAATCAGAAAGGTATAAAGGGCAAACAATGGGCTGGTTATCATAAATAAAGAGGAAAATCTAGAAGCTACTACCTAGGAATTACATGTATTTCGAAGGTTTCAGAATTGATCAATATTAGTACTTAACTATAGAGGTAAGATCTTGAACTGTAGAGTCCTGTGAATTTCTTTATTATTATTTTTACTTTTCCTGTAATGAGAAGAGAGTATGTCCAGAGCTGCTTCTCTGCTCTAACCTTTGAAGGGGGCTGCTGTATCTCTTAGTGTCATGTGGTCCAGGGAAGCAGTTTGTCATATCTACCATTATTTCAGCTAAGCCTTTTGCAAAATACCAATGAATGTTTCCTATAATCCTTCAAGAGAGGAGGAAGAAATGGGAGGCATAGGGGGCAGACCCACAGTTCTTGCTGACCATCAAGCTGTCCAGAAAATTGATCTGAAAATGTTACTGATACGGTAATCCTACTGATTTTAGGATTAATCTGTCTGCTTTTGATAGACTACCAAATACACACTAACGCAAACATTAGTAACGGAATTCTGTAAATACTAGTGACTCACCATGATTGTCCTGAATGAGCCAAGTATTATCAAAACTTTAAAAACCTTGTCATGCACTTCATTGTAAAGGTTTTTGAGGCCACCCAGTCCTATTGCTTACTACTTCACCTGTAGTTTCACCTTCCTTTCTTAGTGCTTCTGCATATAGATCATACATCTTCGTATTCCTCCCTTCCTCCCACCTTCGTTTTTGCCCTTATTATTATTCCAGATAGGTTCTGGAACCTGATTCTTCAGTGTCCAGGCTTGTCCATTTGAAGTTAAATAATCAGTTTGTCTACTGAAGAGCAGCAGCTATTAATTTTCCAGTTGTATGCCTTTTTTCATTCTTCCTATCCCTTCTAGTTCTTAATAAGCACAATAGTACTATGAGCTCAAAAAATTCGTATCATGGGAAAGGAATTAGTATTTTAATGAGAGTCAGATTCACAGGTAGCATTTCAGGCTTCTTGTGGACTGAGGCTATTAATTAGAAATACACACTTACAATAAGGCAGGAACGAAATTGTATGCATTGGTGTTCTGCATCATAATATAGGTCACAAACACCCCAAAAGTGTAATGCTTGATACTGTCTAAATGAGCTTTTTCAGTCAATGTGGTTTACGTTGTTGTATGTGATTCCATGTATCTACTATAAATAATGTTGTCTTTAGACACTTTGTTTAAATATGTATGTGGATAAATATAATGAACAATGAAGTTCTATGAGGTTAAAGTATAGATTGCAGAGAAAGCACAAATTTGGAAGCATTGCTTGAGGATAGCTCAGGCAATCAGTAAGCATTAAATTCCCCCTGTGGTAATAAATTTGTTTTCATATCATTTTTTTTATTTAAAACAATAAAAAAAGTTTCCCTGTGTTTTTATTCTGAAGTATTTCCAAATAGCACAAGTCCAGTTGAATCTAAGAGAAATAATCAATACAAAGGTTGATCTGTTTTTATACTTCAAGAATTTTGTCAGAGCCAAAGAAGGAATCTCAAATCTATATGTCTGACTTGGAAATTTCTTTAATAAGGTCTAGAAAATAACTTATGGGTGAAATTTATATCTGCAAATTGAAGAAGCCTCAGTCAAAATTTCAGGGTCAAATCAAGTACAAAACAAAGGAAGTTGTTCTCCTCGGGTCAGAATTACTAATACTGAACTATAATGATACTGCAATAGACTGGAAGATAAACCACTACTTTTTCCATAATAAACATTTCCTGTAATAAACAGTTTGTGAGGAACTTTTATTAATATTCACTGATGCTGCTTATTTTAGTACTGGGATAACAGAATTTTCCTCTAAAAAATAATGCTAAAAATGGCACTTAAAGTCGATTTCTTTAAAGTAAAACTGTATTTTGTAGAGGATTAATTTTAAGCATGTTTCTTTAATACCATAGAACTAGTCAAAAATATGTGAAATTACATGTATTTCATTAAATACACCATTTAACTGGTTTTGGTTTTTCTTTCCCTTATATCTAAAGGCTAAATTTAAAAAGTGAGGTAGTATCTTATCCTTTTCTTGGTGCTGAAGAACTTCAGATGTAGGCAGGTGGTTTTAGACTTTGCATGTGGGGTGTAGGAATGGGAATTTGTGCCTTCATCCCTGATGCTACTGAAAGAAAATATAATTAAAGCTTGTGTATTTATAGCCCTTCTAGAAACTCTTCTAGTTGGGTTGTATGATGACCACCTTGGTTACCCTTTGTGGTGGAAGAATAAGACTTTTTTTTTTTCCATGACATGAAAAAAAAAAAAGCTTGTCAAATTGAGTGTCTCCTTCTTTGCTATTAAAATAATTGCTTTAATAGCAAATAATTATTTTAACAGCAGAACAGCAGCCTTTCTTAACTTGGGGGAATTATCTAATTTAATGAGGAAGAACAGAAAATACCCATCTAACAAAATGTTGTAAAAAATGCCATGGAAGTGATCTCTAAACAATTAACCTAAGAGTTATGTTCCGAGTAAAAAGTAGAGCATGCCACAAAGTGCTTTTTAATATATTTCACTGATAGAGTACATTATGTAAATAAGTAAAAATATCTTGCTTGTTGTGCCTGGAGTACAAAAAGGGTTTTATTATTAGAGTAGCTGTCTGGTTTGCCCTTCAGATGTTTTTTTCACTACACTAACAGAATGGAGAAGGACTAGTTTTTCCAGGCTTCTATTTTTTATTTACATCAGAAATGTGAAGATTGAGGATTACCAGTATGAAATTATGAGGAGGTAATACTGTATATGCTGCAGAATCTGAAGGTTAGTTCAGCATTTTCATAACCAATTAGTTACCCATTAAAAACTTTGAAAAAGGGTATTGTAATTACAACTTCAAGTGTACAACACTCTTGGAACTTACAGTATTTTTGGTATCTGCTCATACTTAAATACTTTTGTACTTTCAGTAATTTAGATGGCCTTAAAGTACACATGTTGCTCTTTTCATGCTCTGTGTTGCTTTGTAAATGGTTCTACAGCTTCCACATACCAGCTTCCAACTACCACTAATTATAACAAACTGCAGGTGATCAAAAGCATCTTCCCCTAAATGGTACTGCATAGGGATTTTTTGTCTTGAATTTACCATACCTGCAGAAGCTTGGGCAATTTGTGAAATACTCATTATTATATTTTAATGGCATCCACTTCTTGTTTGTAATGTTTTTAAAAATTCTGGACTTTTTTGCCTTATCAGTGTTACTCTCTTCCACTTGGCTAACGCTGATTAATTCTCTTATGTACCTAGCTCAGCAAACATAATACATGGCTGTCTTTTAATTGATTTGTGTGCTTCTGTACAGCTTTAGGGATAGTGTTTACATTTCCATGCCAGCAGCAAGAAAAGCAGATTTTCTCATACTGCCTGAACTGTGGTTCATAACAGTTCAAGATTGCGGAAGTTGCTGTGGAGATATGTGTGCAGTGCTGTGCTGCTGTGTCCTGTGGAAAGAAGAGCTACTTGGGTTTGGGCAGCAGCTTTTTTCATTGTCACCACGGTTACTGTGCTCTCAGCCTTCTGTCAGTAGAGCTTTAATGCTATTGATTTAGAATTTCTTTATGAAATTTCTTGAAGTTTTTCTTCCTTGGTATTTTGCAGTGGTTCCTCTTCTACTGTAAATCCTTATTCTCTTACTATCTCTCCATAGATTTCCAGTTCTAAGCCAAGTGCTGACCAGTGTGAAAGAACAGTAAGGAGAAGCAGCAAATGTTATGGGCAGCTCTTGAAATGGAGAGGGCTGGTGTGTCATGAGGTGAAATTCAACATGAGACTTAGTTTAAAACACCAGCTTTTGACTTGTACAGATGAGTAAATGAGTATGTATAGCTCTTCCTGTGACTTAGTTTGCTGGAACATACTTGTTTCCAGCTGTCCTCCGCCCAAGATCAAATTTGCAGTAAACCTGCATTATCCATGAAATCTGGTGTTTGTAGAACAAGGCATAAGGAATATGCCATCTGTTCAGCTTTTGAGGAGGGGATTAACCTTGAGTAGCTTTAGAAGCACAAATATGAAAAATACTGGGCATGTCTAGCTAGTGATTTTTCTGTTAAAACTATCCTCTACAGGTGTGCCCTTTTTCATTGGCTGCAGGTGTTGTCAAGGTGACTAAATTCAGCTTGATGGCTAACTTAGCTAACTGAAAAGTGAAGTCAGGTGAATCCCGCACTGATTTGTTTAAGTATTGATGAGATAAGGTAGGGATTTTGTTCCTGATGCAGGTTTTGTAGTTTGAGGACCACCCCATTTGTAATTCAGTTGTGGTAGGTTAATGTGAGGAAACAGATTGTCTAAACTGATAAGCTGACTTCATGCCAGAGAAATGTGGAGACCTAGATTCACTGATCAAGGAACTGTAATACGTGTTACTGGATGGGAATAGTTCTTCTACAGCTGGATTGAAAGACTCTGAAGTAATAGAAGACTGTGTAGTGAGGCTTTGAGGATGTTGCTGACTTGATCTTAGAGGACTTGGAAAAGGTATAGTTAAGATCTAGAACTGTAGATTACTTACTGGAGTCAGTCCTCTGATAAAAGTAAAGGTAGGCTTGAAGCTGGTCGTTAATCTCAGCCACAATTCCTGCAGTAAGGAGCTCTTGCAATAGCTACATGGTAGTTGGAGGCTTTTCCTGAGTGAGCGTGCAGCTGTCTAGATCTGGGGTAAACCAGGCAAGTGACTATGCTATTGACTTGAGAATTCAAGTGAACAACAGAACCTCAAACTGTAGGAGTGATAGTATTTTAAATACATTTATGAAGTATGGGCAGGTTTTCAGTTTGTCTTACTGTAGTAATTTGAATCATGCCATTGCTGTGTTGTTAATATGAGCTAGCACATCCCAACAGTTAAGCCATGCTGTTTCTTAGTAACTATTGTATGACTGTTGCTCAAAATGGAGAAAAACTTTCAATTTTTCTATCTGGTCTGAAATTGCCTGGAAAAAAACTTATTCCTGTACTTAGAGCACAACTTGAAATGCAAAGTAGTCCTTTTGGGAGGCAAGACCACCTGCTAGATTAACGTGGAAGGCTTGTGCATGTTGTAGAACTCCCCTTCCCTAACCCCATGAATAGAGAGATGCATTCAATTCAAGCAAGGCCTTTTGCCTATCATACAAATGTATGTTCCACCCTCCAGGTCTGCTCTTTCGAGTAAATTAAAAGTAAATACGTATTTTGGGCTGTGATTTTTAACACGTGAAATTAAGATAGAATACTGCTGGACTGTAACAACTCTTTATGGGAGTTGAAATCGGCTGTAAAACTGTCCACTTTACCTCACCACATGCTATGATACTAATGATTGCACTGACTTGTGTTATCAGTGCCTTGTATTTCTTCTTCACTCAGGTGGACCTCACACTGCAAGAAAAGGAGAAATACCTTAATGTGTCTCGTTGGTTCAACCACATTCAGCATTATCCAGGTGTTCGACAACATCTGTCTAAAGTCATCTTTATGAAGAACAGATTATACACTAATGCTCATTAAGGAAAACCTTCATGTCATGCTGGAAGGGTGTTTGGGAGTCCAGAAGTTGTACTGTCCAAAACCACTACCTTGCAAGTCCTGGTTTGTAACCTTCTGTATGTGAACCAAAACTGCTGATGCCTGAAATAATACAATTGCATTGAATTGCTGTTGTTCATTCAAGAATTTAAACTAGTTAAAGAATTGTATCATGTATCTGATTAAATGCAACAGTGGTAGAAATATGGAAATTGAGTTTTAATTCACTATTTTTAAAAAATGAAAAGTTCCTTCAATTATTCACTCCTTTTCCTATTTATTGAATTTTTACATATGTCCCGCTTTCTTTTCATTTTATTTTCCATGGATGTTTACACTAGTTTTGTAAAAGTTCAGAGCTATATTGTGTGCCAAGGATGTGAAAAAGGGAACATGCAAATGTTACAAAGTATTTATGTGACTGAATAAATTATTTTAAAACTGTAGTCTAAATTTGGCTGTGAAGCTTTCTAGTTTTTCTTCCATAGAGAAAATGAAGCTTTTAAAAGGTTAGTTCACTTGCTACTTCATTTTGTGGTATATGGACTTTTATTTTGATTCTAGAAGCATTTACTTTCAAACTGGGTAACAAAACTGGCATTTCTCAAGATTTTGCATATCTCTCACTTCATATGGTATTTCCGCACAAGTGCAAATGCAAGTTTCCAAGACCCTTCAAAAACAAAAAAAAGTTCCGAACCTTCAACTTAAGATAATAATGAGCTGCTTTGTCAAGTTCATTCTCAATGTTTTAAAGCTTGTTCTAAAACCAAAGACACTACTGTTGAATCAGTCATTTCACTTTAGAACACGGTCTGTCCATTTTTATTTTTAACAGATTTAAAAGTTCAAACATAGTGCCTCAGGATACATCTGAATTGGGTAATTACCTTCAGCTAATGTTTCTTTTAAAACACTTCAAGAAATACAAAAATATTTTGATACTTTAATTGATAAGCATCTATGTTGGTTTCTCAGCAAACAACTTCTCAGTTGTATGTTCTTTTGTCTTAACTTGTGTGCTGCTTTAGGAGCCTTCCAGCCAGTAAGGTAGATATAAAGACATCTTGGATAGGTGTTTGAGCATTCTGAATGTTGCAAGGCCTTAAGAAAAAGGTGGGTAGATAAGAGATGAGGTAATTTAAAATATATCCTAACATATAAAAGGGCTGAAGAAAATTGTGTGAGTAAGCTTAACTTGGAGGATTCCAGGCTCTCTAATAGGTATTTTCTGTATCCACATCATTTCTTTATGGAGTTTATAGGCACACAGTTACTTTTAGAAATGTGTTGAATTGTTAAAAATGAAAAGAAAAAAAAAAAATATAAAATATATATCATTTTCCAGGGGGATTAATTCTCAGCTTCTACCATTTCTTGTGATAGTTGCTCTTGTTCCTTGGTGTTTAGAAGCAGACCTTGTGTACTTAAGTATCAAAGTCTCACTGAAATCTTGAGATCCGTTCAAGAATTACGGAGTGGTCTTTAGTACAAGTGTACATTAGAAACTGCATCCTCTGAACTCTTCATATTTGACTACAGGAGGGATTTTTTTTTTACTGCCCATACTTGCACTCTTAATTCCCAATTTACTCAAACAGTTGTTGCCTGGTAGTATGTATATAAAAGAGTTTGCTTTTTTTTCTCACATATGGCTGGGAGCAAGCGATGATGAGACTTAAAAAAATACCTATGTTTCTACTAAATTCTGCTATAATGAACCATTCTATTCCTAAAGGGAAGCATGAGTGGGAATCATCAGTGCATTTGGTCAGGGTTTGGGGAGCTTTCACATTCATCTTGCTGATTGTTGGGTTTTCTATGTGCTATTGCAAATGAGAATGATTTAAGTTTTGTACAGTGTATGTGCAAGCCAGCATCTGTGGAAGTAGCAGCTTGCGTTACAGCTAAGAACAATGAAGTGGAACCAGAGCTAAAAATATTTCTCAAAATAACACTATCATCTCTTCAAGCAGGTTTTTGTAGGGATGACGCTACTAAGTGTTGTTTTTTTTAAATCCCAAACAGGCTGTTTCCAAGTGTTGAGATTTCTCAAGGTGGCTACATGCTGCTGCTGCAGTATCCCCATGCCTCTTGTGCCAGTTTTATTTTCTCTAGTGTAGACCAGAAGTGTTACTGACTGCTGAAACATTAAAAAGAAAAGAAAAAATGTTCAGATAACAGAAAGATGAAATATTTAGAAGCAGATTAGTAAAATTTAACTCTGTTCTAGCTAAAAGGTCTTTGATCGTGGTCATATGCTAACTTTAGCATTTCAATTGTCTCTCCTCCGCATGGAGAAACTTAAGGGGGTGGAGGGTTAAAAGCAAAGAAGGATGAATTGAGACTTTGCCTTCAGAGAGATGACTGGGGAAACCAGATGGTATTGATTTCCTCCCCTCTCCCCTTTTCTGTCTAATGCCTTTTAATCATTTAGGGCAACTGCATTTGTAAAAAAACTTTTGAAATATCACAAAAATGTAGCTTAGCCAATCTAAGATTGTATGGAGCTACATTTTCTGAGATGATGCTTCGTACTATTTACAGAGGAGGTGTAGTGTGCCTGAGTGCTCAAATTAACATCGATGATCTGTGTAAAGAGTGTGCATGGGTAAACATTGTGCTACTTTTAAAGCTACTAGTGCTTGTCTTTCAGTTTCTCTGCTACTTCATTGTACTTTCACTGAATATTAGTAAAAGTGACTTTCCTCCTTTGCAACCCCCTTCTCCTTTCTTAAAATTTCAGTTGCTGAAGGGCACAGTAAATACTGTGATGTTTTACTTTTGTTGCTTCGCAGTTTGATGATGATGACCACAGTGATGTGTGGAATTTATTTTCACAGCATTTCATGAACAGTGACACTCTCATTTGTTAACGTATCTCATCATTGTAGTATTATTATTTTGCATAATTGTTCTATCTAATTTATTCAAGGGGCCTGACATGTTATGGTCTTTTAAGTACGTGCCTCTAGGACTTGAGGTTGTTACCATATGGTGAGATAGTGCTGCATGACAACCTTTCAGCAACTGAAGAATTCAACAGTGAAATAAATATGATAATTGTAAGTGTTCAGTGAAATCTTACACTTTGACTTGTCTTTTTCCCTGTGATGCCAAGATGACCACTGCTTGCAGACAAACCAGGTTGAAACAGATGTTCAAGTATTGCATTGGCTGTGTTAGAAATGTGCTGATGGTTTTTAGTTGTCTTTGTATGTGTAACTTTATTGTCAAGTGAGAGTTCAGTTTGACTTCAGGCATCTGCAGGACACTTCTTGCACTGAGACTTACAACTGGGCAACAGCGATTTATATAAACATCCACCTTTAATATGGGATTAGAGAAGTAGGAATGAGAAATTTGAGATGAGTTACACTGAACAACGAAAAAAACTAGTTCCAGTTTAGACCTGGGTGCCTAGAAAATCTGACCGTTCAGGTGGAGCTGAAGTGTAGGCTTTTCAGCAGCAAAACTGTAAAGAATTTTTTAATGATAGCTTAAACGTAGAACATGCTTTTTGTCAAGTTCCTGTTGTGTCATCAGTGATTTACCTACCAGGCTAGCATCCTAGTTTTCCACACAGAAACGAAGTTAGGAGATGCCACTTCTGGTTAACAATTAAAACAGTCCAATCAAGCAAGGTTTGTTACCTGTCTTCACTGCCCACCCACAATAAGTACTTGCTTTCAAGAGGTTTGCACCTATTGAATTGCCAGTGACTCTTTGGGTAGAAGGTGTAACAATCTGGCAGTGAAGTCTCCTACCTGGCATTTTAGCTGTTTGCCTGTGAGAGGTGATACTTTCACATCCTTTTAATCATTTTTTTACCTTGTGATCCTTCTCTAACCTACCCCACCTTCTTCAAAATATTTTTACACTGAAGTAGCCCTTCTCCCAGGAGTTTTTTACTACCATCTGAATCTTTGGAAGAACATAGGCCTAGAAATGGGGAGCTTATTTTTTGCAAGGTGTAGCTTAAAATTCCCAGTAGGTGTTACAGCTCATTGAAGTATCTTCATAAAATAATTCTTCAACTTCTCTTTCTCTCACATACATACACATATTTATTTCTATTATAATAATAGCTGATGAAAGAGTAATCTAGACTCCACCGTGGGTGTGGGTCCTGTGTTATTAGCAGGGGGGACTCTTAACTAAGGTTTAAGATGGACATGAGTACTTTGTAATTCAAATAAGACAGTCATCTTTATGAACTATTTTACATGAAAATGTGACTTAGAAGTGTTAGCATGTTTTTTTCCATGAAATAAAATAAACCCCAGTAACATGACAGATGAAGAGAGCTGTAGAATTTGAGCATCTTTATTCTCCTCTTGGTTAAAAAGCAATAGATGATCAAAACTCAGCTCCTCAGTGCTGTGGATTTGGAAGAGATGAGAACAAAATACTTAAAAAGAGATTAGCTGAGAGAGATGAAAATAAAGGAATAGATAACACCTATAAAATCATTATCAAGAAATCCAGTGTAAACTCTTCTGTTCCGAGGTCTGGTTCATATCCTTTCTGACCTGGTAACATCTTCTGTTTGCATCTCTGCAGGTGAATAGAGATATTATCATGACTTTTCTCCAAGTACATTTGCTTTGGTATGGCCATAAATTGATTTTATAATTGTATGTGCATACAGAGCCTCATATGAAATATTTTCCTCTCTTTATTTTTTGCTAGGAAGAGGGATCTGTAGGGCCTATTTGATTTTTTTTCTTGGTTTTCAATTTTATCACTTCCTTTAATCTTTGGTGTGTTTCACGGTCTTTAACTTCAAAGTGTAATTGCAATGATGCAGCTGCTTAATGGATTAATACATTTAATATTTTCCCCCTAAGAGCGGTTTTTCTTCTTTGCATCTATAATTGGATCGTGCTGCTGCTGTCCCTAACGGAAACGCCAGGTTTTATATTCACCATACACCTGAGCACATGCTTGCTCGCTTGGTAATCGTAATTTTTGTTCTGGATTTATCAAAACTGAGTTGTGTTTCACACATTTTTTTCTGCTTGAATTTTACTATGTAGAATGCGTGAGGGGAGATGCCATCACGCGCCTCTGCTGCTCCGAGCTTTCGGATTCAGGCTGGGTCTTTGTGTCCCACCGCTGCGCGTCTCAAATATTAGATTTATAGCAGGTACTTCAGAGCCCAGCTCCAGGGTGACATACACAGATATCACAGATTTGGGGCGAGGGGGGGGAAATTGGTTTTATAGCAAGGGTTACTTGTTGCGCTGTGTGTGTTCCTGCAGGCGTGGCCTTTATGTCCCGTGCTGGTAGTGACTGCAGCCACCTCTCACTCTGCGGGCAGGCGGGAGGTGAGTCATTTTTCACTGTTGCTGCATCTGAAGGATTCCCCCTTCCCCTTCCCACGTTACCTTGGCCCCTTTTAGGAAGATTTTCATCTATTAAACTTTCCCTTCTCTGTTGGAGGAACTAAA